AGAAATGTGTTTTGCCTTTATTTTACATTTAATTTAAAATTAGAAGATAAGCTCAGTCACTTTTGTAGATTTAGAAATAGTTCAAATTAAGTTGCAGCTTTGGAATGCTTAGGAAAGAGATAGGAAAAAATCATCAGCTTGCATGGCTGGCAGTGTGTTTTAGGGTAAAGTAAGCCTAGCATCCTTGTATTCCCTGGTGAGTTGTCACTGGTGGTGACATAGTTGGCGCCATGCTGAAATTAGGAGAGAGGAAGTTGTTTTATGATGCATGTGTCTTGAGCTGAATCAGAATGACCTTGACCCCACAATGGGCTCAGAGCCCTCAGTTTGCAGATAAGACTGGTTTGCCCAAAACTCAAAGCTTGTTTATTCTGCACTTTTCCTTCCTTTCATAGATATTAAGCATTTAGTGTGAGCTGGGACTGTGCTAATCTCTGAGGTGCAGAGTCCACTGAGGTATGGACCAAGTCTCCACCAACAGCCTAGCAGGGAGGCGCCTACATGGACTAGTCACATAATGGAATAAGCATGGGGAGCATGTATCTGAGTCAGAGGGGGCAGTGACAGACTTCAGAAAAGCTTCACAGAGGTGTCCACATCCCTGCTAGGATTGGAAGATTCATTGGAGTTCACTGAGTATGGGCGCACCAAGGAGCATTGGAAGCATAGGGCAAAAAAATTGCTTGCCCTAGAGCAGTGGGAGAGAGGGGGAGAGCTGATCTCGTCAGAGGCAGGTGCTCTGTGCTAAGAGCTGCAGAAAGTGTACTGCTCCCATTTGTATGTGGGAATTATCCTAGTAGAGGCATAGAGAGTTCATACAGGAACACACAGGGCAGTAGTCCTATATTCCCAGTGGGAGATGGTGTGAGGTGCTTGCAGGGCAAGAGAGAAGGGGTGTCACTCTTTAAAAAGTAAAATCAGCAAGACTTGGTGACTGATTAAGGAGTGTTAGGGAAGGGAGATATGAAGGGTGACCGCCAGGTTTCTTCCTGAAACCTCTGTAGGGACCCTGGCTTGTTAAGTCACTACCCAGGGCATGGATGTGAAGCTTCTAGTTGCCTTTAGGCTGTTAAAGAGGTAACTCTGGCCTGTATAAAATGAGCAGTTCTGGCCTAAGAAAGAAGTGGTGGTTACTGTGTTGCTCCACTGCAAAGAGAGCTGGAGAGCTTCTCTGCTGAGAGCAGAAATAACCTCCTCCTAATTAAGGAGGAGAAAAGTGGGGGCTGGGCTGCTGGCAGCAGTAAGAGGCTTTTTTTTTTTTTTTTTTTTTTTTTTTTTTTACTTCTGTTTACTCATGGGAGAAAAGAAGCAAAGCTTTGAGAGCAGAGAACTTTAGAAAGGCAAAATACCTCTGATTAGTGTGGGAGTTTGAGGGAGCTCTTGCTAGAGAGAACTCGGGACTGTAGGCTACAGAGGGGAACCTCTGAGGGGGAGGGGACTGCATGCCTGCCCAGCCCTGGAGGCCAGCAGAAATCCCCTGAAAGTCTGATCCCCAGAGTAAGATTTAAAGATTTATTAAAAAAAGAAAAGACATTCTAATCAGTCTGTTTACAAACAAACTTACACTTCTCATCCAAGTTATAAATGACGAGAAAATACCAAATTGGACCTGACTTTCTAATATTTTTAAGGAAAGTACCAAGTACGTAGTATCACATCAAGTTGTTCAGCATCACTATTTTATTTATTATTTTAAACATTATTTTTGCTAATGAAGAAGGGGTAGCCGAGAACTTGACTTCCCTGGAAAAGCCGGATAGAACACCTATTGAAAACCACGTAAAATGTGTGAAAAATCTGGGATCTGTTGAACTTCAAGGACCAGGACAGAACTGAGGCTGGTGAACTTGGGTGGGAAAATAATTACATCTTTATCTTCACTCAGTTCTAATAAATCTAGTTTTTATTGTGAGGGAAGATTCCAAAACAACAGTATTAGAAATAATCTGTTGTTATTAGAAATCACAGTTCTTTTAATATTGTATTATAGTTTTGGCAGATATCTGGAATTACATCATTTATTCTTATCCCACCACTTCAGATTTATTATAGTTATTGGATCTACCACTATGTGACAAAAGACTATATCTTAATAACCATGTACATATATTACTATATCACAGACTTTGGCTTTTAAAAATTTGGATAACCATACTTCAGTAAAATTGCTTTTCTTTTTAATATTATGCATTGTGTTTTCTGCATTTGAAAACATTATTATGAGCGGGTTTCATTAGCTTTACAGCAGATCAAAAGAGATCCATGGCACACTAATGGTTAAACCCCTGGCTAGGATGGTGTAGTTGTGGCATTCAACCTCCACCTGGTGGCAGCATACTCCTTAAAGGTTAAATCTATAATCAACAGTGTGAAGAAACTTTTTAAATAACAGTAAACTTGAATATGGTTTTCAGACATTTTTGACTAGAACCCACAGTAGGAAATAGACTTCACATCCTAACTCACAGCAATCATACTTAAGTTTCACAAAACCTTAACATGTGATACATTGACCTTCTTTATTGTACTCCAATATTCTCTGTGATTCTCTTTCATTAAAACAAAATGCTGGTTTCGACATGCTACTTTGTAGTTAGTGGGTCACAGTACACTGTGACATCTTAGGAAACCAACTCTCAGCATACTTCATGGTTTGCTACTCAGTGAAATTTACTTTGCTTTCCCCTAAAATACCCATATGTTTTCAGGGTCATAAAACTTACATGTTAAATAATTGTCAACAAATATGAATGTAGCTTTTACACAACACTTAAAAATTATTTATATTGATATGTAATTTATGTCCAGTGAAGTGAACTGATCTTAGATGTGTTCTCATCAAGTATACAAAACATTTTCCATCACCACACAAAGTTCTTTTGTGCCTGTTTCCAGTCATTTCTTTCCTGGGCAATGGGTGTTCTGATTACTTGCACCTAGATTTAGTTTTGCTGTTCTAGAGGTTTCTGTAAATGGAATCAGTATGTATTCCATACTGATAAGTATGTATTGAATCAGTATGTATTCTTTGATCCTAGCTGATTTTGCTCAACATAATGTTTCTAAGATAGTCCCTGTTGAGTAGATCAGAAATTTGGTGACTAGTGTTTCCTTACATGAGATTACCATCTATTTATGTACCTGTTGAAAGACTATTGGTTTGTCTTCCATTTTGGCTGTTATGAATAAAACTTCCATGAACTTTTGTATGCAGGTCTTTGAGTGCACATGTCTCATCTCTCTTAGGTAAATACCTGACATAGAATTGCTGGCTTAGTCAGCACTAAGTATATGTTTAAACATGGAAAACTGATAAGCCATTTGCCAAGGTGGTTGAACCATTTTACAGTTCCACTAGTGATGTGTGAGAGTTTGGGTCAGTAAATCCTTATTATCATTTGGTGTGGGGTCATTCTTTTTGATTTTAGTCATTCTGGTAGGCAGGTATTTGTATCTCTTGGTGGTTTTAATCTGCATTTGCCTGATGACTGATGCTGTTGCATTTTTTTTCATTTGCTTATTAGCAATTTATCATATTTATAAAGTCTTTGTTCAAGCTTGACTTGTTTTCTAAATATTGATTTATAGGACTTTTGGGGATACTATTACTATATATCAGATATATGTATATATGAATATTTTCTCCTAGTCTATGGCATACATACTCATTTTATCAATGTCTTTTCATGAGCAAACATTTTTAATTTTGACAAAGTCCAGTTTGACAATTTTTTTCTTCTATATTTAGTGCTTTCTGGCTACCATCCAAGTAGTACTTTTCTACCTTGATATATGAAAGATAGTTTGGGCTTTTATGTTTAGCTCTATGAGTCATCTCAAATTAATTTTTTGTAGATGGTTTGAAGTGGGTGTCAAATTAATTTTCTTACATAGTTATATCTGGTATTCTCACACCATTTGTTGGGAATTACTACCTTTATTATTGATTTCTAGCACAATATTTTTTAAAAAATTGTACTAGTCAGAGAGATATAAAAGTGACTTTTACCTTTGGGCTATCAGCTGACCCCCTGGGCCTCATAGACCATCCCCAACCTAAAGTCTTACTCTTCTGTTATTTTCTAAGCTAATGCTTCCACAGTAACCTTGAGACTTTCAGAATTTACTCTACTCATAAGGTGTGAGGATTTATAAGGCTACAACTTTTTATAGTATATATAGCTGTGCCACAGAACCACCAGCCTCTTAGGGCTATTTAAGTTAAATTAAAATTAAATCAAACAAAAGATTTAGCTTTTCAGTCACAGTAGCCACAGTTTAAAAGCTCAATAGCCACATATAGCTGTTGACTACCTTATTGAATGATGCAGATACAGAATATTTCCACCTTTTCCAAAGATGGTGGGTGGTACTAGCCTATAGAATAAGAAAGGAGGCAGGCTTTGTACCATCTTATAGTATATTTTAATGAAACTTATTTAGCATTGATAACTGTCATTCAACAGCTACCTTTCCCTCCTTGTTTCTTTCTTGTCCCTTAGTGTGCCAAGGTGCTTTAAAACCTTCCCTCCTTTAAAACCAGTCAAATTAAAATTCCTATTTCTGTGCTAAGATGTACTGTCACAACCAATTCTTCTGTACATCTAAAAATACAATAGCTTATATCTGTTCTTTCCTATCTAGAAGAAAGTATTTCCCTAAATGTCCCTGAAATCATTCTTTTCTGAAGCTTACTTGGTGGTGACCAATTTAACTTTTCTCCGTGGTTGAGACTTCTGACTTCTCCCCGCAGGGTGCCACCCCGAGGTGAATATTTGTCTTTTCTCTCTTTATTAAAGTTGTATTTCTCCTTAGCATTTCTACCATCAGTATTAAACTTTCAAAAAGTTGTAGGTTATGACTTGTAGGCCTGTCTCATGCTAACATGTCCAGTGGTGAACTTTGTTGCCATTTCATCATGAGCAACCACACAGGAATTTGTGAGATTTTCTCTCATTGTTCATTGGGCATGTACTGACTCTGCCATTCATGTCTTTCAGTGTGGGAAATTCGCCGTCCTGGTGGATCTTCATGTATCACCAGAAGGTTCAACCAAAGATACCAGCTGGTTTAATGAAAAGAAGAAAGAGGTATCACCAAACTTTTTTAACTATTTATATGCAATTAGCTATTGCTTGAAAAAATAGCTCCTCTTGGCTTTCATTTTCCTATAGTGGACAAAAACTGAGCAACACTTAACCCTTGAAAAATAATTGTATTATTCCCCATGACAGAGATACCCTGTTTTTTTCCTTCAGAAACTGACACATCCATATACGTTTCATATACTACTCTTTGTTTTGGAGTAAGGAGTTCTTTATATTAAAGAAGAAGTTAAGGTGACTATTGCAGTTAAGTAGATATTTTAATTTGACTGGTTTTAAAGGAGGGAAGGTTTTAAAGCACCTGGAACAGGTGTGGGGGTTCACATAGGCTGATCTTTCACACCTGTCTGAAACCCTCAACTTCCGCACTTTCATCTTCTACCATCCTTTTATTAGTGTGAGCCTTTGACAACAAGTATAGAGACATTTGACATTGTGGCTTCTTTCTCTGCAGTCAATCAGTAAAACAAATAGTCACTTGGCTGGGAGTATCACATTTAACTTCCAAAGGCCTCAGCCTCCCCATCTGTAAAAGAAGGGGTTCCAACAGAGACTGTCTTACCCCTGGCTCTCTGTTTCTGCAGGCACAATTGTTGTTGTGTAGTGTTAGAAGGTGCATCTAGCTCATCACATGCCCTGCTTCCTTTTCAGATTTCTGCTCACTAGTGGCAGGGAGAGCAGGCAATGACTTTTACGTAACTTTGAAAATATTAGAACACTTCGCCTCCTCCATGATAGTCATTTGTTGCTATTTAGAGGTTGAAATAAAAATAAGTTTACTGAAGTTGTTGTGTGGAGAAGAAACTGGTGATAGTGGCGCACACACTCACACCCACACCTAGATACTGTGACAACTGTTTTCAGTTAGCTTCAGCATCTCCTATGCAACTCACCTTCATATAATTCCAAGCTTTGGCTCACCAACACATGTCCCATGATCCAAAATAGTTTATTCATTTCCCCAGAGTGACTAATGTTCACCCAAGGGGACTTCACCCATAGGACTTCTGACTTGACTTACATTAACAGAATTTCTAGATTCCCTCATTCCAGCCCCAGATTTCCCTCTGTTGTTTCCCAGCTTTGCCACCTCTGCCTTAGACTTTTGTTGTTGATAGTCAGTTTTGCCAAGAGTCAGTTGATTTAGGCTTTACAATAAAGCTATGAGTATGTGAATCACCTCCTAGCCAAAGCATGAGGCTAGATTTTTCCAGGGTGCCACACACAGCTGCACTGCTCCACCTAGTACCTACATCCGGGCAGCAGGGCATGACTTAGCAAAGATGCTCAGTGCACGATTGAACCTGCACAGCTCTGCTGCAGTGGCAGCTGCAATAGGCAGATCCTGCCAGAATTGAACTTTCCTCTCAAAACAAAGTTCACAGTTTCCTTTTTTACTTTAAGTTGTTCCTTCAATGACATTAAAACTGCTGTGGGATAATTCTTGTGGGGTGTGTGTGTGTGTAAGATAGGAATTGGGGAAAGAATATGACTTTAGCCTGTAGTCAATGTCCCAATGCCTTTTTCTTGTGATTGGAATTTCATGAGAAATCAATTTGATTGCATTTTAACAGTCATTTTATACAGTGAAAGTCTCTCTCTTTTTTTTTTTATATAGAGAGAAATAACAGTTTTTTTTTCTTTTAAAGATTTATTTATTTATGTATATAAGAGCTGGGGTATAGGCCAGAGATGCGGGGAGTGAGAGGATTCACCAAAGACAGAGTGGGGAACAGAATAGGCAGACTGACTGAAATACACTGCTGAGGGGAGCAGCAGGTGAGACAGGAGAGGTTTGCTTCACCATGTGGGTTCCTCTCTGGCCCGGTGGGGATCAAACTCGTGCTGCAGAGGCTGTGGATTGCTTCATAGTGCGGTGCTTAACCCCTTGCGCCACCAGGGAGGCCCTACAGTGAAAGTCTTAAGAATATCCAGGCCTCTTCAGAAAAAGGAACTACTTATATGTATTAAACATATGTTTATTTTAGCCAGCATGAGTCGTCTTTGTACCCAAACAGTTGAACTCAAACTGTTCCATCTGTAAACTTGAGGCAAACATGAGCCCCTGTTAGCCCAGAGACTTCATGTGTAGCTCTTTCTTTTCACCAGTTTTTACTTGCTCTTCTTGTCTGCTCCTCCAGTTTAGCTAGGAATTTGTCTCTTCTTGTATTGCTCTGGTGATGAAGAGAATTCCTGTCTAGGTGTGTGGTGTCAGCAGCTGTTAGGGTATCTTGACTGCGCATAGTCCACCTTTCACTCGTCAAATCTGACTCATGGAAGGAAAGCCCCATAACTATAGGGAGAAAGTTTATGTGTATGGGTCTTTGTTTTATTTTTGTCTTACTATTTTTAGTTCTAACCTTATAGGGCATTTATGGCCAAATTTTAACAATCCTTGTTTCCATGTATGTCTTTCACATATTTTTTAGCTCAGTCATAGTTGAACCCTGCATGTGAAGCAAAATTCTTTAATTGTTAAAACAACAGTATGAGGCAAGGCTGCTTTTTCTGTTGTGTGAACAATGCCAAAACACTCGACTGTAAATGGATCTCTCTGTATTCCAAAAAGCATTGCATCTTCAGGCTGCAAAATGAGAGCAGGAGAGAGGAAACCAGTGTTGGGATTTTACCTAGAAACACCCGTTTGTGAATTAAATATGAAGGACCCTCTATATTGTAGAATCTGTATTTACATAAAAAAAAAAGTGTCACTGTCATTGTCTTTCGAAGCACAAAGCACGTTAAAGCTGTTCTTGTTTTAATTTATGAAGATTCTAAGAGATCAACCTGAGATGACATTACAAAAACCAGTGAAACAGGTTTGAGGTGACCTCGGAATCTCTGGAGACTTCCATAGTCTTTGGGACTTGAACCAGAATTATCGGTCCTTACACATCAGTTCTTGATCTAAGTTAAGAAATGCAGATTTGTGTGCAATTTTTCCTTTCCCTATATCAGGTTACATTTTATTTTTTTGGTTGTGTAGTTAAAATGGACCATGTCTTCCTTTCATGTGGCTGGACTTTTAAAGTTTTGTTTTTCTTTTCATAAATAAAACCAACATATAAAACAATAGACAGCTCCAGAAATTTGCTGCTGGTACAGTATGTTGACATTGAATCAAAACCATGTGTTTCTCTAGTCTAATAAATATTAATCTGCATTAAGAAACATGAGAATTTAAATTATTTTCACCATAATATAGGTGAATATTATGTGTAATTTTCATAATAAAGGGACATATATATTATCAATAAGAGTGGAAGAAAATCAAAATACTGATTCCCAGTTCTTTGTTCAGCACATCACTCGGTGCTGCAGGTGTGTAAACCTGAGGCCAAAAATGAATGGTGTTTAGATGAAAAGAATTTTTGGAACCAAGCTTCAAAAGTGAGAAATTTTTCAATGTAAATCACTGTTTCTGATTCCTTTTAAACAAATCGAAAGAGCTAGTGACATTGTGCCTTGTATTCTCACATTGTGACAGTCCACTGAGCCCTTGAGGGGCTTCCCTCTATTGTTTGAGGTCAAGAGTCCCTCTGAATATGTGTGGGCTCCTTTCTTTGCCCACAGGCCCTACCTGTCCACAGTGGGTATGTCTATGGGTCCCTTGTCACCAGCCACTGTTGGCTCTATTTGACGTCTCTCTATTTGTCATATATAACTGATTGATATTTATGTAACAAGTCATTACCTTAATGATGTCATCATTTTGTCTCACTTTTTTTAAGATTTGTTTTATTTATTTATGCATATAAGAAGTGGGGTGTAGGCCAGAGTTATAGGGAGTGAGAGGATTTACTAGAGACAGAGTGGGGAATAGAACAGGTGTATCTACTGAAATACACTGCTAAGGGGAGCAGCAGGTGAGACAGGAGAGGTCTGCTGCACCATGTGTGTCACCTCCCTGGCTAGGGATTGGATTCACGCTGCAATGGCTGGTGATAGCTTGATAGCACTAAGACTTTAACCTATGCGCCACCAGGGAGGACCTCACTTTTTTTTTTTTCCATGAAAATATTTTTATCCACCTCTTAGAGGTGTGAGACTGAGGCAGAATGAATTAAATGAATTCCTCAAGTCACAGTGTGAACTAACATAGTTTTGAACAAACCTCAGTAGCAAATTTAAATCTGTGGTGTTTTCTGTGACTACATGTTATATTCTTTTCATTATTGGTGGCTAAATTAAATACAAACAGGATGAAATGTTCAGTGTTGGCTTTTTAATATGCACAATGTTGACCTTTTTTGGCATTTTACCGAATTAGAAGCTGTATCTATTTTTTCAATTTACTTTAGGAAGTCTGTTTACTGTTAAAAGAAACCATTGATTCAAGAGTTAAGGAGTACTTGGAAGTTCGTAAACAGCACAGACCATCAAATACAGAATTCACAAGATCCAGTCCCTTGTCCTTAAAAGGTAGGCACAGAGTACTTTGATTTTGGATAAAATTTCTGCTTTGTAGAAACAGCAATTATGTTTGACTCTGACTGTCGTGTTAGTACAGTGATAAATTTAAAAAATATGTTCCAGTGAAGATGCTCTGTTTGAGTAAAGAAAATTAACTAAGAAAGCCTTGAAGGGGCCTCCCCGGTGGCGCAGCGGTTGAGCGCTGGGTTGCGAAGCTGCCCGCAGCCTCTGCAGCGCCGGTTCGATCCCCGGCTGCTCCCCGACCACCGGAGGAGGGTCCCACATGGCGCGCAGACCTCTCCTGCCGCCCACTGCTCCCCTCAGCAGTGTACTTCGGTCCTTCTGCCTGCTCTGCTCCCCGCTCTGGCTCTGGTGAATTCTCTCACCCTCCCAGGCTTCTGACTGTACCCAGTGCATGTATAAACAAAACAAACAAACAAACAAATAAATAAATAACATGCCTCTATAAAAAAAAAAAAAAAAAAAAAAGAAAGCCTTGAAGGGCTTTTAATGGTAGACAAAATATCTACCAAAAATGGTAGACAAAATGGTAGACAATGGTATAAAAATAGGAAATAAAACATTCCTATGGAAACTGTAAATTCTTAAAAGGATTTTTTTTTTGACAAGTAGTCTTACAAATGGATGCACATTAATACTGACTTGATTTGGGGTTTTATGCATTTTTAATTTTTCATTATGTGTCACCCTATTTCAGAGATTCTCAGCTAGGGGTGATTTTTTTTCCCAGGAGACATTTGAACAATGTCTGCAGACAGTTTTGGTCTGTCCCACTAGGATGGGAACAGTGGTGGGGAATTACTGGCATCAGTGGATAGAAGCCAGGGATACCACTCAATATCCTACAATGCACAGGACAGCCCCTCACAGTATTATCTGGTCCAAAATACAAAGGGTACTGAGATTAAAATATCCTGCGCTATTTCCTAATAACTCTTTGAGAATGGTGATGCCTTTGAGTATTATGTGAAGAAGCTAAGGATCTGTAAGATTAAGAGACATCCTCTTGAGAACAGAGATTATCTTGTTTATTTGGTATCTTCTACTCTTACCTCCCAACCCCCATATTTAGCCTAGTGTCCGATACACAGATTCACTGATACGTTGAATGAAAGAGCGTTGTGTGACAAATGACAGACCCTAACTCCAAATCCAGCTCTTCTGACTCCTAGCCCAGTGTTCTTTCCACTATGTCTTCGTATTTTTAACTTTTTTACTTTAAGTCAGCATTTCGTCACACTCCTTATGGTACAAATATAGTCAATCCCATGTTAGTTGTCAGAGTACAGCAGTTGACTGCTGTGAAATAGGTTATGCTAATGCAGTACATCTCTAGAAAATGAATTGTAGCCACCTTTGAAAGCATATGGAATCCGAAGTGTTCACTTGAGCACAGCTGATTAATTTTACTCAAACTGAAAGCCTCAAACAAATGATGTTTTCAGTCCAAACAAATATTGTATTAGACAATACAGTAGTCTGTTTTTTCACTTGTACTAGTATAAATCATAGGAAAAGCCTTAGGAACTTGCATCTTTTGTACCCCAGCAGACCAGGATAGTCTACTTTCTCACTGGTACAAAAGGAGGTGTTGTCAAGGCCCTTTTCTCCGACATGGTACTTAACCAACCAACCTCAACCAACCCTCCTCCTTGCCTTCCTCTCCTGACTGAAGAAAATGAGAGCATCAATTTCTCAGCTTCTCTATCAGCCAGAACACAGTTCTGGCCCCTTTCCTGGGCCCATGTGGGCAAAAATAATTTGTTTACAGACAGAAAAATAATCTTACTGTACATATCATTTTATAGCCTATTTTTCTAGCTGCAAGTCCTTTAAAATACATCATCATTTAAGACTTTTTAGTTTTATTTTGATAAACTATACATAACATAAAAGTTACCATTTTCACTATTTTCAAGAATACAGTCTAGTGGCATTAAAAATATTTACATTATTGTACAACTTTCACACTATCCATCTCCAAAACTTTTTCCATCATCCCCAGTTGAGTTCTGTACCCATTAAAGAGTAACTCCCTGTCACTCCCTCCAGATCCTGGTAACCACTATTCTACTGGTGGCTATATGAATTTGACCACACTAGGTACCTCATGTAAGTAGAATCAAACGGTATTTATCCTTTTGTGTGTGGCTTCTTTCATTTGATTAATGTCTTCCAAGTTGATCTGTGTTGTAACATTTATCAGAATTTTATTCCTTTTAAAGACTGAACAATATTCATACACACACATATCTATACACAAACACAGACACATAAAAACATGCCATTTTGTTTATCTCCTTATCTGTCAACGAATAGAGGTTTGTTTCCACCTTTTGGCTATTGTGAATTATGTGCTGTGAACGCTGGTATACAAATATCTGTTGCAGTGCCTGCTTTCAATTCTTTAGGAATATACCTAGAGCTAAAATTACTGGATCTATATGTTCAGTTTTATGAGTAACTATTACACTCCATTTTTTCAGTAACTATTATACTGTTTTCCATAGTGACTGCACCATTGCATATTCTCCCTAACACGGCCCAAGTATTCTAATTTCTCTGCAACCTTGTCAACACTTCTCTGTTATTTTGATAATAACCATCCCAGTAGATATGAGGTGGTATCTCACCATAGTTGTAATATGCTTTTCCTTAAAAAGTAGAGATGTTAACCATCCTTTCATGTGCTTAATGACTATTTATGTATCTTTTTTGGAGAAATATCTATTTATGTTCACGGCCCATTTTTTAATTAGGTTGTTTATTGTTTTTATAGGGTTCTTTATATATTCTGGATATTAATATCTCATTAGATATGATTTATACATATTTTCTCCCATTCTGTGCATTGCCTTTTCGTTTTCTTGATGTTGTCCTTTGTTTTTTTAAATGCTCGACATCACTTCCTTTTTTTTTTTTTTTTAAGATTTATTTATTTATTTATGCAAGCACTGGTACAGTCAGAAGCCCAGGAGGGGGAGAGAATTCACCAGAGCCAGAGTGGGGAACAGAACAGGCAGACTGATGAAATACACTGCTGAGGGGAGCAGCGGGCGTGGCAGGAGAGGTCTGTCACACCATGTGGGACCCTCGCCAGCGGCTAGGTATCAAACCAGCGCTGCAGAGTCTGCGGGCAGTTTCTCAGCCCAGCGCTCAACCTCTGCACCACCAGGGGAGGCCCTGATTTTGTCCTTTGACATAACAATTTTGATGCAGCCAATTTCTTTTTCTTTTGTTGCCTGTGTTTTTCATGTTAATATCCAAGAAATCATCACTGAATCCAGTGCTTTTAAGTATTTTTCTTCTCAGAGTTTTATAGATTTAGCTCTTACATTAAGGTCTGATACATTTTGAATTAATTTTTATATGTAGTTTAAGGTGAATGAGGGTCTAGCTTCACTCTTATGCATGTGGACATCCATTTGTCCCAACACCATCTGTTGAAAAGCCTGTCCAGTCCCCTGCTAAATGGTTTTAATAACCTTGTCAAAAATCATTTGACCATAAATGTGAAATTTTATTTCTCAAACTCAATAAATGTTTGTACAGGTGATAAATTACATACCTGGTTGTATCATTCCTCCTCCTAGTACTAGGCCTGCCACAACTTATCTATTCTGCCTGTCTCCTCTTGTCATTCATTTTCCTATTTCCCACAAACCAACATTCTTTATACTTCTGCTTTTACATTTGCAGATTTCTCTTTTGTTTGGAAAATACTATTTAACTTTTAAGACCCAACTGAAATATTACTTCTTCAAAGTCCTTCTCAGTATTTGTCACATTGGAGTATTATTGTAATCAATTTATCCAACTTTCTCCCTCATCTTTAATAGTAAAGACTTGATTCTTTTCCTTCCCCGGAATATCTCTTCTTCTCTAAATTATCCGGCCTCTTACCGTTAGATCATAAACAGATAACTCTGCTTCTGGTTTTAGGTGCTCAAACCTCATATTAAGTTGCTAACTTCCAAAAAGTAAGAGCTAGTGCACCCCTATCTACCATAAGGTTGCTTTTCACAAACAACTGGGTATCATGTTGTAGAGTGCGCATACATGCGGGGCAACTTGGACAGGAGCAGTGGCATACTGTCTACTTATATTGCTATTGACAGCATCACTACAAATGGAAACTGAACACACACCATTTCTCTTTCCTCAGAGCCAAAGACATCTCTCTAAACATTCATCTAACTTGCCTGTTCTCAGCTGCTCCCATAATCTTACTTAAATGTCTTCTTCAAAAGCAATTTCAAAGCCGCTTAACTGTAAGGCCTTACTGATTTCCTCCTCAGTATATGTTCTCTGAAAATAGAAAGAACTGTCATTACCATATTGGTGGTTTGGAGGAATGTGGGTGGTTTATGTCTTTGTATAAATTGAGTATCTCCTCTCATTTGCATGAGTGTCACACATTTTACCATTTCCAGATTTGTGTGACAGTGTATGTCTCATCATGGCTCAGATATTTAGCACACAGTGCTGGGACAGCTGAAGTGTGTAGACTGTTAACTCTACTGATTACTCTGAGTTTCCCTTCTTAAAAAAGTAATATAAATGACTTTGAGGCAATTTCCTCGTATAATTTCCCATATAATACAAAGTGTTCACAAATTCAGAGAGACACTTGCCAGTAGATTCATCTTTTAGAAGTCATCTGAAATGTTATTTCAATAGATTCAATAGGAATTAGTGTTGTGGGCCTCCCCAGTGGCACAGCAGGTTTAGCGCAGCACTGTGAAGCTGTCCGCAGCCTCTGCAGTGCGGGTTCGATTCCCAGCCAGCCAGGGAGATTCCCACATGGTGCAGCGGACCTCTCCTGACTCGCCCGCTGCTCCCCTCAGCAGTGCTTTTGGTCCGTCTGCCTGTTCTGTTCCCCACTCTGTCTCTGGTGAATCCTTTCACCCTCCTGCACCTCTGGTCTGTACCCCAGCTCTTGCATAAATAAAATAAATCTTTTAAAAAAATTAGTGTTGTAAGAAAGT